ACTCTAGCCCGGGCAACAGAGTGAGATGCTGAGTGTCTCAAAAAAAAAACCCTTATGCAATCCTGAACAAAATACAAACAAACTGAATTCAACAACATAGAATGGATTATACACCATGAACAAGTAGAATTTATTTCAGGAAAGCAAGGTTGGTTCATCATATAAAAATTAATTTAGTATACCACATTATTAGAATAAAGGACAAAAACTTTATGATCATCTGAATAGACACAGAAAAAGCATTCGACAAATTCCAGTCTCCTTTCTTGATTGAAAAAACACTTAACAGGCCCGGCGCGGTGGCTCACGCCTGTAATTAATCCTAGCACTCTGGGAGGCCAAGGCAGAAAGATTGCTTGAGCTCAGGAGTTTGAGACCAGCCTGAGCAAGAGTGAGACCCGTCTCTACTATAAATAGAAAGAAATTAACCCAACAACTAAAAATAGAAAAAATCAGCTGCGCATGTTGGCACGTCCCTGTAGTCCCAGCTACCTGGGAGGCTGAGGCAGGAGGATCACTTGAGTCCAGGAGTTTGAGGTTGCTGTGAGATAGGCTGACGCCATGGCACTCTATCTAGCCCGGGCAACAGAGTGAGACTCTGTCTCAAAAAAAATAGAGAAAGAAAGAAAGAAAAGCAGTCAGCAGACTGAGAATTGAAGGAAATTTCCTCAAACCGATAAAGGGCACCTATAAAAAAATATAACTAATGGTTAAAAACTGAAAGCTTTTACCCTAAGATTAGGAACAAGACCAGGATGTCCATTTTCACCGCTTTTATTTGACATTGCACTGCAGGTTGTAGGCAGTGAAATTAGGCAAGAGAAAGAAATGTGAAAGGCATCCATAGTGGAAAGAAAGAAAGAAAATTATCTCTGCAGCTGACACAATCTTGTATATAGAAAATACTAAGGGATCCACAGAAAACTGTAGAGCTGATAAATGAGTTCAAGGTTTCAGGATACAAGATCAATATGCAAAAATTGTATTTCTCTACCCTAGCAGTAAATAATCTTAACATGAAATTAGGAAAATAATTTCAACCAGACCAGATTACAGCTCATGCCTATAATCCCAGCACTTTGAGAGGCCAAGGTGGGATGATTGCTTAAGGCCAGGAGTTGAGACTAGCCTAAGCAATATAGTGAGACCCTGTCTACAAAAAAAATTAAAAAATTAGCCAGGCATGGTGGCACACTCCTATAATCTCTACTCAGAAGGCTAAGGTGGGAGGATCACTTGAGCCCGGGAGTTTGAGATTACAGTGAGCTATGATCATGCTACTGTATTCCAGCCTGGGTGACAGAGCAAGACCCTGTCTTAAAAAAAGAGGGGGAAAAAAAGAAAAAAAAATTCATTTACAGTAGCATTAAAAGTAATAAAATACTTAGGAATAAATTTAACAAAAAGAAGTGCAGGCCAAGCGCGATGGCTCACACCTATAATACTGGCACTCTGGGAGGCTGAGGTGGGCGGATTGCTCAAGGTCAGGAGTTTGAAACACGCCTGAGCAAGAGCAAGACCCCGTCTCTACTAAAAATGGAAAGAAATTAATTGGCCAACTAAAAACATATATAGAAAAAAAATTAGCCAGGCATGGTGGTGCATGCCTGTAGTCCCAGCTACTCAGGAGGCTGAGGTAGGAGGATTGCTTGAGCCCAGGAGTTTGAGGTTGCTGTGAGCTAGGCGGACGCCACGTTACTCTAGCCCAGGCAACAGAGTGAGACTCTGGAAAAAAAAAAAAAGAGAGAACTGCTTAAGACTTTTACACTGAAAACTACAAAACATCGTTGAAAGAAATTTGAAAAGAAATAAATGAAAAGACATTCTGTATTCATGATTAGAACATCTAATATTGTTAAGGTGGCAGTACTACCCAAAGCAACATATAAATTCAGTGCAACCCTTATCAAAATCCTAGCTGGTTATTTTGCAGAAATTAACAAGCCAGTTCTGATACTCATATGGAAATGAACAGGACCTAGAATGGTAGAAACAATCTTGAAAAAGAAGAAAATTTGGAGGACTCACGCTTCTCAATTTCAAAACTTACTGCAAAGTTACATTAATGAAGACACTATGATACTGGCATAAGGATAGACATATAGATTGTTGGAATAAAAGTGAGAGTCCAGAAATAAGCCCTGTGTTTTTGGTTAATTTCCAACAAAGAGCCAGGTGCAATGGCTCATGCCTGTAATCTAGGCACTTTGGGAGGCTAAGATGGGAGGATTGCTTGAGGCCTGGAGTTGAGACAAGCCTGGGAAACATGGAGACTCCATCACTACAAAATTTTTTTTATTATTTAATATTTTATTTTTTTAATATGAAGGGGTAGGAGTGGTGAGAACAGATGTTCAGTTGCCTTGTTTTTGTTGAGGCAGAGTCTCACTCTGCCGCCCTGGGTAGAGTGTGGTGACATTATTGCAGCTTACTGCAACCTCCAACTCCTGGGCTGTTAGCAATCCTTCTGCCTCAGACTCCTGAGTAGCTGGGACAACAGGCATGCACTGCAATGCCTGGCTGGTTTTTGGGGTTTTTTTTTGTTTTTCTCTTTTGGATAGAGAGGGGGTCTCAGGCTAGTCTTGAACTCCTGAACTCAAGCAATCCTCCCACCTTGGTCTTCCAGAGTGCTACAGGTACATGATTACAGGCAGGAGCCACTGTGCCCGGCCAAAAAAAATATTTTGAAAAAATATTTACCTGGGTGTGGTGGCCTGTACCTGTAGTCCCAGCTACTTGGGAGGCTGAGGCAATGGGATTGCTTGAGCCCAGGAGTTTGAGGTTACAGTGAGCTATGATTGTACCACTGGGTGACAGCCTAGATGACAGAGCAAGATCCTGTGCCTTAAAAAAATTTTGTTTTTCAACAGGGGTGCCAAGACAGTTCAATGGGGAAAAGAATGAATAGTCTTTTCTAAAAATGACACTGGGACAACTGAAGATGCACATGCAAAATGATGAATTTAGACCTCTACCTCACATAATACACAAAAATTAACTCAAAATGGATCAGACCTACTATAAGCTAAATTATAAAACTCTTAGAAAATATAGGTATAAGTCCTTGTGACCTCAGATTAGGCAGTGGTTTTTTAGATGTAGCACTAAAAACATAGGCAGTCAAAGAAAAAAATAGATAAATTAGACTTCATCAAAATTAAAAATTTTTTTGTATCAAAGGACACTATCAAAAAAATGAAGGCCAGGTGTGGTGGCTATAATGCCTATAATCCTAGTAGCACTTTGGGAAGCCAAGGTGGGAGGATCACTTGAGGCCAGGAGTTCTAGACCAACCTAAACAACATAGTAAGATCCCCATCTCTACCAAAGAAAAAAAAAATTAGCTGGGTGTGGTAGTGCATTAGCTGGGTGAGGCTGATGCAAGAGGATTGCTTGAGCCCAGGAGTTCAAGGTTGCAGTGAGCTATGATTGTGTCACTGTACTCTAGCCTGGCAACAGAGCGAGACCCTGTCAGGAGGGAGGGAGGTAAATTGACAGCCCACCATAGAATGAAAGAAAATATTATAAATCATATCTGGTAATGGACTAGTATCTAAAATATTATATAAAGAACTATCAAAATTCAATAATAAAAAGACAACCCAGTTTAAAAATAGACAAAGGATTTCAACAGACATTTCTCCAAGGAGGTTGCAATGGCCAATCAACACATGAAAAGTAGTTCAATGTCATTAGTCATTAGGGAAATACCAGTTAAAACCATAGTGAGATACTTTCACATGCACTAGGATGGCTTATAATAAAAAAGATGGACAATAACTGTTGGCAAGGATGTGGATGTGGAGCAATTGGAACCCTCATACATTGGTGTAAATATAAAATGGTGCAGTTGTTTGGAAAACAGTTTGGCAGTTCCTCAGAAGGTTAGCATTGAGTTACCATGATCCAGCAAATCCACTCCTAGGAATCTGCTCATGCGAATTGAAAACATATGTCTAATTAGCCAGGCATGGTGGCACATGCCTGTAGTCCAAGCTACTTGGGAGGCTGAGGCAGGCAGTAGATCACTTGAGCCCAGGAGTTTGAGGTTGCTGTGAGCTAGGCTGACCCCACGCACTCTAGCCTGGGCAACAGAGTGAGACTTTGTCTCAAAAACAAAAAAAAAAAAAGAAAGAAAAAGAAAACACATGTCTACACAAAAACCTGTACACAAATGTTCATGGCAGTAGTATTCATAATAATAAAGTAGAAACAACCTGTATATCCATTATCTGATGAATGGATGAACAAAATGTGATATATCTATACAATGGAATATTTGCTCAGCTATTGAAAATAATAAAGTACAACATGGATGAACCTTGAAGATATTTGAAGCCGAAGAAACTAGACACAAAAGAGTACATATTATATGACTCCAATGGAAATGTTTAGAAATGGGCTAATCCATAGAGATAGAAACTAGATTAGTGGTTACCTAGAGCTAGGGGTAGGCAGGTATAGTAAATGACTAATGATGGGTATAAGGTTTCTTTTGAAAATGTTCTGGAATTAGATAGTGATTATTGTTATATAACCTTATGAATATATTAGCAAGCACTGAGTTGCTGTAAAAGGGTGAATCGTATAGTGTGTTAATTATATATCAATTTGAAAATGAGGGGGAAGAATATATACTCTGCAATGTAATAAGACAACTCAATAAACCATGGGTATAAGATATCAAATGCCATTTCACAATCATAAATCTTAATAGTTAACATGTGAGGTCTAATTATGGACCAGGTATTGAGCACTTTACATACAAGTTTGTTTATAATCTTTACAACAAACTTGAGGGTTGATACTATTATTATCCCCATTTTATATTATAGATTTAGAAATTGGACTGGGATTCAAACTCAGGAACTCAGTTTTTATTCACTATGCTATAAACTGTTTTACCGCCACACAATTGTTCTGCAAGTCTTTGTGTGGACACTTTGTTTCACAGGGCTGACTAACACATCTACACCATGGCTGTTTTTCTTCTTTCCCAGATCCATTAATGAGATGAAACGGTTGGAGGAAATGTCACATTTGTTTCAGAGCTCTGGAATCAGGTGCCACCTTCCAGAACCAAAATCTCAAACAGAAGGGAATGAAGATTCGGAAGACAAAGAACAACCATGGGAAATGGTGATGGATAAGAAACACTTCAAGCTGTGGAGGCGTCCAATTACAGGCACCCACCTTTACCAGTACCGAGGTGAGCCCAGCATGGCTGCCTTTTCAGTGTGTGCCCAGGTGTACAGGACTTCTGTTCTTCTTGTTTTTCAGAAAATTGCCATGTTTTTTTGTTTGTTGTTGTCCCAAATCACATGCCTCAGTGTTGTCTTTGCTGTAGGTTGTCTTAGTTTTACTTTGTTACTCCAATAGGACTTCTGGTTTCTTTCTTTCTTTTTTTTCATTTTTTAGAGATGAGAGTCCCGCTATGTTGCCCAGGCTGGTGTCAAACTCCTGGCTGCAAGTGATCCTCCTGTCTCAGCCTCCTGAGTAGCTGGGAAGGGCTTCTAGTTTCTAAACCTGCCTTTAAGATCTGTCCGTACTGGCCAGGTGCGGTGGCTCACGCCTGTAATCCTAGCTCTCTGGGAGGCCAAGGCAGGAGTATCGCTCAAGGTCAGGAGTTAGAAATCAGCCTGAGCAAGAGTGAGACCCCCTTCTCTACTAAAAATAGAAATTAATTGGCCAACTAAAAATATATAGAAAAAATTAGCTGGGCATGGTGGCACATGCCTGTATTGCTTGAGCCCAGGAGTTTGAGGTTGCTGTGAGCTAGGCTGATGCCACGGCACTCTAGCCTGGGCAACAAAATGAGGCTCCGTCCTCCCCCCCAACCCCCAAAAAAAGATCTGTCAGTACTCTTTTTTTTTTTTAATTGATTACTACTTTTTTATTCTTTTTATTTTTTGCACCTGTACTATGGAAATCTGTCGGTACTCTAGAATTGAAATGCAGTTAGGTGATAGGAATAGGGTGAGTGACAGAGTGTGACAAACATTCCTTATTCTTTCTTGTCATTCTAGTTTTTGGAACTTACACAGATGTGACACCCCGGCAGTTCTTCAACGTTCAGGTGGGTTAATTATACTTTCTAGATTTGGAGCCTCCTAGCAAACCCATTACCCTTGTCCACATGAACAATTTCTCTGACTCAGATAACATTGACTTTGATACATCCATGTAGCTACTGTCATCCCATAGGAATGGATTCGAATGCTTTAATATATTTTAAAAGGCTTTATATATTTTTTCCTGAACAATTTGAGGGTCGGTTACATACATCATATCCCTTTATTCCTAAATCCTTCAGTGCATATTTCCTGAAACTAGACATATTCTCTTAATTAATCATGGTATTATCAAAGTCAGTAAATTTAACTTTGATGCAACGGTTTTATGTAATCTTTGGTTTGTATTCCAGTTTTATTAGTTGACCCAGTAGTGTCCTTTATAGCATTTTCCCCTTCAGTACAGATCCAATCAGGATTACATTTAGTTGTCACATCTCTTTTTTAATCTGGAACATTTCATAGGGAAGGTCTTTATTTAATAAAGAGTATCTGTTCAAAGATTGCTTTCTTCCTTGAGGAGGAAATGTTTAAAAATAAATGAAAAGGGGAAGTGGAGTCACCCAATGTTCTACAAAAATTTTTTCCTTCCTGGATTTTTCATGTGTTTTGCCAGACTTTCAGTATCTAGTTTGTTGGTTATAACATCAACTGGTAATATGTATAGCCATTTTCCCCTAAGCACTGAATTTTGTCAATTTATATTGAATTTTTGTTGGTTTGGATGTATTTATCTGTCTTAATTTGAAATTCCTTAGTTACCAGTGATGACAGAATTTTAAAAAATACGCTACTTGCATTTTGTTTTTTTGTGAGGTGTCTGCTCATGGTTTTGGACTTTTTGTCTGTTTAAAATTTTTAGGCCCTTTTCTCGCCAGGTATTCTCGTGTGAGTGACATTGTCTTTAAACCCTGTGTGGCAATCCCTGATGCACCTCAGTGATGTCCAAGGAAGATGGGGCAACCTGGAAGTCCAACTATTTCCTTAAGTTCATCCAACTTTTGGATAATTATCCAAAATGCTTCACTGGGGGAGCAGACAACATGGGCTCCAAGCATATACGGCAGATCCACATATCCCTTCAAGGGTGCTGTGGTGCTGATGGGCAAGCACACCATGATGTGGAAGACCATTGAGCACCTCTGGAAAACAACCCAGTTCTAGAGAAACTGTTGCCTCACCGGGGAAATGTGGGCTTTTTGTTCACTAAGGAGGACCTCATTGGGATCAGGGATATGCTGCTGGCTGCTACCCGTGTGCCCCTGTGAAGTCATTGTGCCAGCCCAGAATACTGGTCTGGGGCCAGAGAAGACCTCCTTCCAGGCTTTAGGCATCACCACTAACATCTCCAGGGCACCATTGATATCCTGAATGATGTCAGCTGATTAAGACTGGAGACAAAGTGGGAGCCAGCAAAGCCACACTGCTGAACATCCTTAACATCTCCCCCTTCTCCTTTGGTCATCAGCAGGTGTTTCACAATGGCAGCATCTACTGCCCTGAAGTGCATGACATTACAGAGGAAACTGCATTCTCATTTCCTGGAGGGTGTCCACAAGGTTGCCAGCATTTGCAGATTGGTTACCCAGTTGTTGCATCAGTACCCCATTCTATTATCAATGGGTACAAATGAGTCCTGGCTTTGTCTATGGAGACTGATCCATCTGCTTTTGTGGCTGCTGCCCCTGTGGTGGCCGACACCACTGCTCCTCCTGCTGCTGCTGCAGCCCCTACCCAAGGTTGAAGGCAAGGAAGAGTTGGAGGAGTCTGACGAGGATATGGGATTTGATCTCTTTGTCTAATCACCAAAAAGAACAAACTCAGCCAGCTTTATTTGCAAAACAAGGAAATAAAGGCTTCTCTTAAAAAAAAAAAACTTATTAGAATTGTCTTACTCACACACTTTTATATCACTATAGTATTTTTCCCAGATGTATCTGTTGTAATATTTTTTCTTCCACTTCTCCTTGGAATGATATTGGCCTATACGAATGGATTTTAAAAGAATCATCTGTAGTAAACATAGCTGTATCTCTCACATTTTGGCACTATTATATCCAGTCACTGTTTCCTCATAATAAGATCCTTGGGTCAGAGGCTGAAGCATTTGGAAAGCCTTCTACATTTTTGTTTTGGATGTTCTTGGATCTTCATGGTCTTCTCTCTTTCTGCAGCTGGACACAGAGTATAGAAAAAAGTGGGATGCCCTGGTGATCAAGCTGGAGGTGATCGAGAGGGATGTGGTTAGTGGTTCTGAGGTTCTTCACTGGGTAACCCATTTTCCTGTAAGTATTTTTACTTCTGATTTTTCTTCTATCAAGTCTGTGTAATGCAGAACACTAATCCTGCTCCTCCATTTCTTTAGTATCCAATGTACTCACGGGATTATGTTTATGTTCGGCGGTATAGTGTGGACCAGGAAAACAACATGATGGTGTTGGTGTCACGGTATGTATGACTGCCTGTGGCTTTTGCTGAACTCCTTTAGCTGTGCCCTTCGTACAGATGTACGAATCTGAGTTTGCATGTTCTCAGTGCACTGAGTCTCCCACAGCTTCCCAGCAGCCAGTGCCCCATCCTTCCAGCCAGATGAGTGGGCAGTTACTATCTAGGGAGAATCAAGAGATACAAGCTTTTAGTTAAACAGTTTCTCTGTTCCTTAATGTTAGCAATTAAAAAGAATTGCTGTCATCTTCAACACAAAGCATAGTGAGCTGTACATTACCAAAGAAACTCACTTCATTTTTAGAACTTAGTCTGTATTCATTCATTTTAGTGACTCCTCTATTGTGTTCATATAAAAATTAGAGCCAGCCAATATTTAAGTCTTCCCCTTTAACCTTAGCTCTCCTGTTGTTTTATACACAAACATTACTAAGAATTTGCTTTACCTTTCTTCCTTACCAGTGCTGTGGAGCACCCTAGTGTGCCAGAGTCTCCGGAATTCGTCAGGGTCAGATCGTATGAATCCCAAATGGTTATCCGTCCCCACAAGTCATTTGATGAGGTGAGTTTTACCTCATTTAAGAGAGAATGTGACCGGGCGTGGTGGCTCATGCCTGTAATCCTAGCTTTCTGGAAGGCTGAGGCAGTAGGATTGCTTGAGCCCAGGAGTTTGAGGTTGCTGTGAGCTAGGCTGATGCCACGGCACTCTAGCCCAGGCAACAGAGTGAGACTCTATCTCAAAAAAAAGAGAGAGAGAATGTGTCATGGCTTTGGGATTTTCTCAAGGAATGCCTTTTAACTGAACCTGCTAAGGTAATGTGGCCCGAGAATTTGCATTCTTAAAAAGTAGTCTGGTGAGTCCAATGCTGCTAGTCTGGGAACCCCTGCTGTAGGCTGGTATACCTAGCAAAAGATCGCCAAGCATGAAGTAGTGATGATCCATTGGCTCCTTTTATATGAGACAGTTATGAGAAGATAATAGCCACTGACTCTTTTTTTTTTTGAGACAGAGTCTCACTCTGTTGCCTGGGCTAGAGTGCCTTGGCGACAGCCTGCTCATAGCAACCTCAAACTCCTGGGCTCGGGCGATCCTCCTGTCTCAGCCTCCTGAGGAGCTGGGACTACAGGAACGTGCTACCATGCCTGGCTAATTTTTTCTATATATTTGTAATTGGCCAATTAATTTGTTTCTATTTATAGTAGAGATGGGGTCTTGCTCTTGCTCAGGCTGGTTTCAAACTCCTAACCTTGAGCAATCCACCCGCCTCGCCTCCCAGAGTGCTAGGATTACAGCCACTGCGCCCAGCCGCCACTGACTCTTAAGCCTGTATCAGCAACATTCTTCAAGAACTAGAGCGAGTACCTTCCATCAGTATTTCACTACAGTGGACAGAGCAGTGAAAACCTTTTTGGACTTCTGCTTCCTTGTCTGTAAAATGGGAGGATTGGACTAATGCTCTCTGCCTTCTTTAAAAATCTGTGACCTTTCTTGGAGAAGAATATTTATTTCAGGTTGGGGTGTTTGTTTTTGATTTTTTAACTAAATCTCCATTGTGTGTGCATATTAATGTCAGCAATTGCTGTTTATAGTTTTATTTCACCTTATAATGGCTTTGTTTCTCCCTATCATTTGTGTTTTAGAGCTATATGGACTATCTTCTTTAGTGTGGTTTTCTTGTTCTTGTCAAGTTGTTTTATTAACCACCTGAAATAGGACTTTCATTATGACAGAGACTGTGGTTCACTTCAATGTAGTGTTTGACTATTTTTTTACTGGGGGATCTCTGTTTACTTGTGTACTACTTTTATAGCTGTATTTTTCAAGCCATGATTGCTACTCATTAGTGGAACACAAAATTTTATTTATTTATTTGGGACACAGTCTCACTCTGTCCCCCGGGCTAGAGTGCCGTGGTGTCAGCCTAGCTCACAGCAACCTCAAACTCCTGGGCTCAAGCAATTATCCTGCCTCAGCCTCCTGAGGAGCTGGGACTACAGGAACGTGCTACCATGCCTGGCTAATTTTTTCTATATATTTGTAATTGGCCAATTAATTTGTTTCTATTTATAGTAGAGATGGGGTCTTGCTCTTGCTCAGGCTGGTTTCAAACTCCTAACCTTGAGCAATCCACCCGCCTCGGCCTCCCAGAGTGCTAGGATTACAGCCACTGCGCCCAGCCGCCACTGACTCTTAAGCCTGTATCAGCAACATTCTTCAAGAACTAGAGCGAGTACCTTCCATCAGTATTTCACTACAGTGGACAGAGCAGTGAAAACCTTTTTGGACTTCTGCTTCCTTGTCTGTAAAATGGGAGGATTGGACTAATGCTCTCTGCCTTCTTTAAAAATCTGTGACCTTTCTTGGAGAAGAATATTTATTTCAGGTTGGGGTGTTTGTTTTTGATTTTTTAACTAAATCTCCATTGTGTGTGCATATTAATGTCAGCAATTGCTGTTTATAGTTTTATTTCACCTTATAATGGCTTTGTTTCTCCCTATCATTTGTGTTTTAGAGCTATATGGACTATCTTCTTTAGTGTGGTTTTCTTGTTCTTGTCAAGTTGTTTTATTAACCACCTGAAATAGGACTTTCATTATGACAGAGACTGTGGTTCACTTCAATGTAGTGTTTGACTATTTTTTTACTGGGGGATCTCTGTTTACTTGTGTACTACTTTTATAGCTTTATTTTTCAAGCCATGATTGCTACTCATTAGTGGAACACAAAATTTTATTTATTTATTTATTTATTTGGGACATAGTCTCACTCTGTCCCCCGGGCTAGAGTGCCGTGGTGTCAGCCTAGCTCACAGCAACCTCAAACTCCTGGGCTCAAGCAATCCTTCTGCCTCAGCCTCCCGAGTAGCTGGGACTACAATGCGCCACCATGCCCGGCTAATTTTTTCTATATATTTTTAGTTGTCCAGCCAATTTCTTTCTATTTTTTTATTAGAGACGGGGTCTCGCTCTTGCTCAGGTTAGTCTTGAACTCCTGAGCTCAAACGATCCACTTGCCTCGGCCTCCCAGAGTGCTAGGATTACAGGCGTGAGCCACACCTTAAGAAAATTAATTTAGGGAATTATGATTAATTTTTTTAAAAAAGAATAAATAGAACAGGATAGAAACTACCTGAGTGTAAATGTATTTCATGAAACTTTTGTTTGGTTACATAAGTGCACATAAGTGTGTATATGAGAGGGAGAGAAGGAACTAGGTTGTGATGTTAAAAGGATTATTTACAATGGGTTATGGTTAAAATGTTTGAAAGTCCTTTGCTTTGAAGATGGAAAAGAAGTGAGGCTCTGTCTGGCTACTTACCTATAGGGAGGGAAGAGTGGGTCAGGCAGGCTGAGAACAGTGTGGGAGGGAGACATGCTTTGCTTTATTCCTTTATGTTGCTTTTGAAATTTGAACCATGTCCATCTGTTACCTACTTGGAAAAAAGTGACAAGTTTCAGCATTGGTGCCTTTAGAAACCATAACCACAAAACAGCTAAGGCATGGTTTAGCACTTAGGGTGTGTTGTGTCTAGTAGGCACCTTACAGTATTTCTTCTAGCTGGGTTGGGAGAACAATAAGAATTATGAATATAATTTTTTTAGTGTATTTGTGGCAAGCCCTTAAAAAAAAAAGTAGGACTTGAGTTAGTCCTTGAAAAAAAGGCAGACTGGATAGATAGAGGAAAACAGGAAGGGGTCTGGAGGTAGAAGACATGATTCAAGCAAAGGCAAAGATAGGAATGAGGCATATATGTGCTCAGAGACTCGTGCTTAGCAAAAAAGGTAGAAGTTAGAGAATAGTGTTAAATAATATTGACTCTGTTTAGACAGTACTCAGAGACCAGGTGGCAGAGTTTGGATTTGCCAGATAGAAAGTAGATCCTTGAGCCAAGGCATGGTGTTTTGTTTGTTTTGCTTTTTATTATGAAAAAATTGAAATGTATACAAAAGATATAGAAGTAGAAAGAATAGTACAGTGAACCTTGTGTATCTATCACTAGCTCATTATCAACTCATGGCCAAATTTGTTTATCTGTACCCCTTCCCCTATTTTTTTCCTACTCCCCTGATTATTTTGAAGCAAATTCTAGCTTTACTATAGAGGGACCCAGTTCTTCTATAAGTATTTCAGTATTTATCTCAGAAAGAGTTTTTTTTTATTGTTGTGTTTTTTATTTTGGGACATTGTCTGACTCTGGTGTCATCATAGTTCATTGCAACCTCAAACTCCTAGGCTCCAGAGATCCTCCCTGCCTCACCCTCCCAAGTAGCTGGGACTACAAGCATGCACCACAACCCCTGACTCATTTTTGTATTTTTTGTAGAGACTGTGTCTCACTATGTTGCTCAGGCTGATCTCAAACTCCTAGGCTCAAGTGATCCTCCTGCCTCAGCCTCCTGGGTAGCTGGAACTACAGACACGTGCCACCATGCCCGGCTAATTTTTTCTGTTTTTAATTGTTATGGCTAATTTCTTTCTATGTATAGTAGAGACAGGGTCTTGCTCTTGCTCAGGCTGGTTTCAAACTCCTGATCTCAAGCAATCCTCCTACCTCCGGCCTCCCAGAGTGCTGGGATTACAGGCGTGGGCCACTTGAACTTTTTTGTAGTTGGTTTGTTTGAATCAAGATCCAAATATCATCTAGACATTGGAATTCATTCCTACTGTCTTTTGAGTCTCTTGAAAATCAGTTAAGTTCCTCTCTTTTTTTTTTCTTCTTGTATTTGTATTTGTTGAAGAAGCAGAGTTTTTTTGTCCTGGATCTTGCTGGTTATATCACCATTGTGTCCATGGTGTCATTTAACATAGTCTTCTGTCTCCTGTATTTCCTATATATTGATAGTTTAGATGTAGAGGATTGAACAGATTCAGGTGTTTGTTTTGGGCAAGACCACTTTATCAGGAGACAATATGATGTCTTATTGTTACTTTTTTTTGTGGATTTAGAAGTTATTGATTATTGCTTATATCCATTATTTCATTAGGGGTCACAAAGTGCTGATTTTTTTTTTCCCAAAATATTAAGGGGGTACAAATGTTTTAGGTTACATGGATCACTTTTCTAATGCTTGAGTCCTGGCTAAAGGTGTCAAAGTGCTGATTTTGTAATTCCTTCATTAGCTGAAATACTTTATAGAAAATTTTCCTCATCAACTATTTGGTTTTATATAGGAAAGGGAAATAAGAGATATGCTTGATTTTGTTGTTGTTGTTTTCCTTCATTTACTAGTTTTCAAAATAAAATAATGAGTGAGTTCATTCCTTCATTTAGGGATCCCCCAAAAGTAAGGTTTTTATGTTTTGGTTTTTTAAGAAGCATCATTAGAAACTTACAGATCTAAACATAACTGGTTAGTTTTAATCCATCCACCCAACCAAGTTTAATATTTACAGTTAGTTATTCTTATTTATGCTCCAATCGATCCCAATTTTGGCCATTGGGAGCCTCTTAATGGCTCAAGTCCTTTTGACATGACCCTATGAGGTTTCTTGCCTTCTGGTGTTAAAAGATGTTCCAGGTTCATCTAGTATATTTTTAGCTCTAAACCTGGAAATTAGCATTTCTTGAGGGAGTCCTGGTTCCACTTAGTGGAAAATGGCTTTTAAATACCACAGTTTGGCTATTAGGAGTACTCATAGCAACTGGGTTTGTTATTGTTTTTAGTACTTTTCAGAAGATAGAACTAAGTGATACATTTTATTTGCATGTTCATTTTAAGATAAAACAAATCCTAAGTGTATACTAATACTTTTAATTCAAATTCAGAACTGCAGAGTTTCTATTATGTTATTAAGTATGGAATGTCAATTTCCTTAAGTACTATGTTTGACAGTTGATACTCTGACATTTCACTTTGACACTTATTTTTATCATGAAGGTATATCCTCATTCTTTCAAACACATTTTGGCTTGTGATTATCTCTCAAAAAAATTTTTAGAGCAATTTTTGTGAAACCATGAATAAGTCACAACTTAATGTTACTTTTTAATATGAGTTTCGTTGTGGAACCAATGCAGTGCAGACAGCTTGACATATCAATGAAGTGTTTGGGAAGGATGTGGCTAATGAATGCACAGTCTGTCGATGGTTTGAGAAGTTCCATTCTGGTGATTTTAATCTTGAAAATGAGCCACGTGAGTGACCTGAGACCAAGGTGGATAATGATGACCTGAAAGCTGTGGTGGCAGCGAATCCATCTCAACCTACACATGAATTAGCAGCAAGCAAGGTTTGATGTTACTATTCCAACAATATTGGACCATTTGAAACAAATGGGTGAGGTAAAAAAGCTGGGATACATGGGTTCTGTGTGAATTAAATGAGCAGAGAAATCTTCTCCAAGCTCTTTTTTGCTGTCGTGACATAAAGGCGAACCATTTCTATACCTTATTGTTAGGTGTGGTGAAAAATGGATTCTTTTTGACAGTCATAAGCGTTCAGCACAACGGGTGGAGAAAGATGAAGTGCCAAAATTCAGTCCGAACCTGAATATTCATCACAAAAAGCTAATGTTGTCTGTTTGGTGGTCCAGCGCTGGTATTATCTACTACAGCTTCATGAACCCTGGTCAGTTGATTACAGTGGATGTCTACTGCAAATTGGATGAAATGATGAGGATGCTTGTGATTAAGCAGCCGAGATTGGTCAGTAGAGACAAAGCAATCCTCTTGTAAGACCACATGTCACAAAAAACAATGCTGTTCAAACCACAGAAGCTGGACTTGGAAACTCTCTGTCATCCACTGTATTCACCAGACCTTGCACCAACCAACTACCATTTCTTGGAGACTTTGGACCACTTCTTACAAGGGAAAATATTTGATTCTTACAAGCTGTGGAAAACGCCTTTGACGATTTCATTGCCACTGACTCCCCAGGCTTCTTTGCTGCTGGCATAAACAAGCTACTATTAAGATGGCAAAAAACTGTGTCAATAGTTTAGGTGCATACTTTGGTTGATTGTACTGCTTCTTGTTTGAGATATAGTAAACTATGCTTTTGATTCAAAATTAGACATATCATATTTAATGGCCTATATTTATAGCTTATATATATTATCTTTCCCTGTGCTGCAAAACTGAATTCCCAATAACATCAACACAACTACTCATTTCCTTTGCACTGAAAGACACACACAGCAGCCTCAGATGGTAACAATGCCAACAAGATCACCAATAATAGAAAGAATAAAAATTTGTATGTCTTTTTGCCCTCAGGTTATGCACAGTGTGAACAAACTATTGAACTTTAAAGTTACTTGAAATAGGTCTTGTTATTTTAGTTTTTTCCTACCAACTCAATAACAATTAAATTCCTTACTTTCCACTTTATCTTTGATTTTTAGATATTGCTTTTTAAATTTAATTTTGTTTTGTTAAATTATGATAAATACTTATTTCGAAAGTCAAATCTATAAAGTAAGGAACAATCAGGGTAATTTAGATTATCTCCTATTTTTTCTACCCATTTTCTTCCTTCCTTCCTTCCTATGGGTAATCATTGTTTTTGGCTTTTCGTAATATAAGCAGTAGTGGATGAGAACCCAGGTCTATTGACTTTCCAGTCTCAGTGTTTTGTGGGTAGAGTGATGAAAGTCTTTTACGTGTATTGACTCATTTAGTCTCATAACCAACCTTTGTGGTGGTTTCTGTTACATTCCTATTTTACAGGCTTTACCTCTCTTTCCTTTTTTACTTCTACAGCATTCAGTCTCTGTCATGGCACCTTTTTATCCTATTAATAAGAAGCTCCTGTGGGCAAGGACTGAAGCAAATTTGTTTTCTTTTTTTTTGTTTTGTTTTTTTATTTATTTATTTTTAATTTTTAGTCACAGCAGTGTCTGACAACAAATTTGTCTGAAAACAAATTTGTTTTCTTTACAACACAGTGCCAGACACACAGCAGACATTCAAATATATGTTGAACAAATGAATAAAAGGTTAAATAATGCACTTGGGGGGAAAAAAGAAGATGGACTTTGCTGGGGAAACACAAGAGTTTAGTCATTGCTCTGCACCTGGAGTTGTGACCAGTCTTGCTTTTTTAAAAAGTACAGATATAAAAGTCCCTTTGAGAAGAGCATAATTGGTTTAGACTTCTCCTAGTATCAGGATACCTGTAAATCTCCTTAATACCGTGTCCTTCACTGTATTACACAGTGAGAAGGATGAGCCAGAAATATAGTGGTTGTGTGGGCCCCTGCGGTCTCTCACTGAGTGTGTGGGTGCCCTTGGGCAAAGTTACTTAACCTCTTTGTGTTCAGTTTCTTTTTCTATAAAATGGGGAATGGTCATGCCTACATCATAGGATTTTTGTGAGGAATTGGGAGCAGTTCCTAGCACACAGTAAGCATTATATAAATGTATATATAAATGTTTGCTGGTGGTAGTAGTAGTAGTAGCAGTAATAGTAGGGTTGATACCATTTTGGTAAAGATTAAGCTCTATAAACTGTAAACATTGGGGATATGTCTTGGGTTGGGGGCCTTCAATACTACGCTGTTGGAGGATTTGCTAGAAGGACTGACAAGGACTAAGTGTATAGTTGTATTCACAGCTAAGGTTTATCACAGTGACATAGTATAAGTATACACAATTGGATCATAAGAGAAAAAGACACATGAGGAGTTTGGAGGAATCCATGTGAGGCTTCCTTTAGCAATGAAATGCAACAGTATTGTGTTCAGGAAGACCCATTAGAGAGACTCAACACCCAAAGGTTTTATTAGGAGCTGGTCACATAGTACCCACTGCTTAGCACATACCAAAATTCCAGACCCCTAGGAGCAGAAGTTGTTTTCTACATGAACCACATTGTTTGCATAGTGTAGGCATAGGCAGCCACCCCCAGGAACCAAACCAAGGGTCAGCTTTGCAAGCAGCCTTTCTATAGATAGCAGTCTTTCAGGCCTTTAGTGTTAATTCTTTTCTGCACAGGGTAAAAAAAGGTATTCCCTGCTCCAGAATTAGATCACGGTTTTTCTGTGGTGCTGGTTATAAAGGTGGTGGATAATTTAAGTACCCTCATTTTTGTTGTTTTTCTTTTCCAGAATGGCTTTGACTACTTGCTGACATACAGTGACAATCCCCAGACTGTGTTTCCTCGCTACTGTGTTAGTTGGATGGTTTCCAGTGGTGAGTAGGGACATGTATACCCGGGTTGAGCATTTGGTTTTTCTTTACCTTTTTTATGGCAGCAAGAAGACTAATATTCATCTCACTGGAGTCCTATTAGGGAAATTAAACATCTTTTTGGATTCATTCTTTTCTTTCCTATTTTTTTCTTTTTTATTAATTTATTAAAAATTTATTTTTATCCTTCTTTTAACACCTGTACTTCTCAGTTCTATGGATTCATTCTTGAAACTATATAGATATCAAAGTCACTAGGTGAGGTTGGAATTATAGGGTCCCAAAAAGGAACTTGTACCCAGAGGAGAGGTTTTTGGTATTGTTTTTTGTTTTTTTGAGACAGTCTAACTCTCTACCTGGGCTAGAGTGCCGGAGCATCAGCCTAGCTCACAGCACCCTCAGACTCCTGGGCTCAAGCAACCCTCTTATCTCAGCCTCCCAGGTTGCTCGGACTATAGGCACGTGCCACCATGCCTGGTTAATTTTTTTCTATTTTTAGTTGTTTGGCTAATTTCTTTCTATTTTTAGTAGAGACAGGGTCTCGCCCTTGCTCAGGCTGGTCTCAAACTTCTGAGCTCAAGCAGTCCTCCCGCCTTGGCTTCCCAGAGTGCTAGGATTATAGGCATGAGCCACCGTGCCTGGCCCCAGAGGAGAGTTTCTAAAACATTTGCTTTAGTGCCTTAAATATGGACTATGCACATTGATATATTTAATTTTTTTCTTCAATAGCATTACAAGCCATAAGATCTGGCATAGCGAATGTGGTGATTATAGAGCATTCATCTGGGGAAAGGGTCACCTGGCTTAACAAAGGCTACACATCACAGCTGTAACTGCAGTTTTCCTTTCCAATTTCTTGTCTTAGCATCCTCAATAAAAAGTAATTTTCTTTCTCTGGTTCTTTATAGGCAGCTTATACTTCAGGGGGAGAATGGAGAGATTAGGTATTTCTTTTTTACATTTGTGTAAATAAGATTGGCAGCTACTTTGGCCATGTTATTAGGAGATATTTTAATCTAAAAAGAGTCTTTTGAGACCTCAGTGACCTGATTAGTACCCCTTTTCAAAGGATCAGAGGTCATGGTTTGTTTTCACAAACCCACATATAGGGAATACATTCTGGGAGGCAGCTGTCATTCACAGGTTGGCAGTCAGGCTGTGATCTGTATGAGGAAGAGGTAGTAGCTCCCTACTATCAAAGAAGTAGGGTCTTCTAATTTTGAGCCTACTGTTGGTTTGTATGTCATCTTAACCAGATTCCTCTGTCTCTTAACAGGCATGCCAGATTTCCTGGAGAAGCTGCACATGGCCACTCTGAAAGCCAAGAACATGGAGATTAAAGTAAAGGACTACATCCCAGCTAAGCCTTTGGAAATGAGTAGTGAAGCCAAGGCCACTGCCCAATCCTCCGAGCGGAAGAATGAGGGCAGCTGTGGCCCTGCTCGGATTGAGTATGCCTGATGGGCTTTGGGATAAGAAGGAATAGGCACTTCCAGCCCTATCTCGGTCTCTTTTCACTCTGCTACAGAATGGGGACAAGCCACATGTATTAGAAGGCAGGCATCTGTTGTAACTACGAGTGCAAGATAATTCAATAACTGATGTCCGATTTCATTCAGAGCCCTTATTGCTCTTATCAACACAGAGAGAAGGCTACATCCATGGGGATGTTGTCACATTCTCAGGCCAACTATTTTGAAATTCAGTATTTCACTGAACTAATCTGGAACAAACCTCTCACCTCAGGCCAGAAAGAGATGACCTTCATTTGCATCCTCTGAGTAATTTCCTCTGCTGACATTCCAAATCCCACCATTGGTTTTGCAGTGCTTTGGATTTCATGTAGTTCTGCAGGTCCACATGGAAAGTGTAGTTGGCCGGTAGAGTCAAATGAGGGGTTGATGGGAGTGTTCTTGGTAACAGTCTTGATGGGAATGGGTGTGAACGATACTTGGCCATGTTAAGTGCCTTGTCCTCACCTTTTATCTTTAGGGACATGAAGTTTATACCAAGACATTTCTCTCCTTGCCTGCATAATATCACCCCATTGACTCACTTTACCCAAAGCAGCTTCCTTTGAATCGGCTGGGTTTTCTATATTCATGCACAGAATTCATTGGATGATTGCTTCCTTCCTAACCTTAGCCCATTTTCAAGAGCACTGGAAGATGAATCCTTTTAGATAGTAGCTCCCTTTGTCATCAGTGTGTTGATAGGGTCAGTGGAGATGCTCAAAACATCACATTTAAATTAAATTTTTTTAAACCTTTGTGTCAAAAAGGAGGAATTGGGGAGTTGAGTGGAATACAGCTCCACTGTATAGAAAACACCATTTAGATTCAGGCATTATTTTTTAGACTTGAGGTTTGACTTGTCCTTTTTGGAAGGCTAAAGGCAGAGAAATGATGGCTGGGCCACTCCCCCGGAGCTAGATCTGTAGACAAGCTGTGTGAACGCATAGGTGTGATCTTGCCCCAAATACTAATATAGTGGGGGTGTGGTTTGTGTGACCCTCTTGTTTCGTTAAAAAGTTTTTCCTTCTCTCTTCAGAGCTAAAATAAAACCAACTGCGCTGTTCAGATAAGGTCACAAGCAGATGGTATCAGTTTGGCCTAGCCGGTTTTGCTGTGGTCATGCTGCAGTCTCTTGGGAGAATAGGGATCAAGTTTTACATCTTCCTCCTCCTTTTTTTCTGGAGTCTAAATGACTAGATTTTTCCTTTTTTTTCCCCCCCTGCTCGTTGCCCTTTTTTTGGTGTTAAAAAGTGATCTAAACCTGAGACTAATGTAAACCCTTCCTTGACCTTCTTGTTGCCTATACAGTTTTGTGCCAAGGAAATAACTGCCCCAGTGTTTTATGTCTTGCCTTCTCTGAGTTGTTGGCAGAGCAGAGAGAGAAGCATTGAACAGTCCCAGCTTCTTTTCATTAATCACTTCTCTCTTCTCCCTAGGACCTGACAAAAGCCAGAGAAGAGTCCCTGGGTTATGTCTGAACTTAGCACCTGTGATCACTGGGGTGTGGATGGGTGTGTGAGAGAAAGATTGTGTGTGTGCATGCACAGGTGCTGAGACGTTGTGATTACTCCGTGTTCTGACTTAGGGCAATTTGACTCTGCACTTGGGGTCTCTCTGTACAGTTACCTATGTCATTGTAATGATCTCACTCCTAACTGTGACATTTTTATCAAATGCGTGAATAAATATTGGTACATAAAGATTGGTACGAAAGAGTGTCTTTGGACAATTGGTGGTGGGGAAATCTTGCCTATTGGGCTTATCATTTCTTTCTGATCACAAAGTTGAAAAGAATTTCTACTTCTAAGACTTGGCAGGTGGAAGCAGCAGGGCTTGTTCTTCCTTGGTAGATAGTGGCTGACACACAGCTACCTAGTCTAGACACCTAGCCTTTTACAGGTGACCAGTTTGGCAACTGAAAGTAAAACACCTATTTCTACTTCCCTATCTTGATCTAACCTATATCCTTTGCTTTTAAAGAAGAATCAATTTCAGCCGGGCGCGGTGGCTCACACCTGTAATCTTAGCACTCTGGGAGGCCGAGGCAGGAGGACTGCTTGAGGTCAGGAGTTCGAAACCAGCCTGAGCAAGAGCGAGACCCATCTCTACTATAAATAGAAAGAAATTAATTGGCCAACTAATATGTATAGAAAAAATTAGCCGGGCATGGTGGCGTATGCCTGTAGTCCCAGCTACTCGGGAGGCTGGGGCAGCAGGCTTGCTTGAGGCCAGGAGTTTGAGGTTGCTGTGAGCTACACTGATGCCACGGCACTCACTCTAGCCTGGGCAACAAAGTGAGACTCTGTCTCAAAAAAAAAAAAAAAGAATCAATTTGGAGGAAACAGTGCTAGAGCTTAGCAGATAGTAAAACTCAGGGACTCAAGCAAGTGCAAGGTTTAGAGTTGAGAGCCAATTCATCTTCCTTGGTGGAGAGGCAGTTCTGCTGTAACACTTTGAACATAACATGACTTTTGATTTTATGTGTGATTTTTGCCTGTGGAAAACATTAGGTGAATACAAAAGCACATCCAGCTGAACTGAGCCGCACAGGAGTACATGAGGCACACACCTCTGTGCTTGCACGACTTACCATCTGATTTCAGAGAACCATCCTCATCTCCCAACGGCAACCTGCAGCCCTGCTACTGGCCACCCTGTTACTGCACCTCACATCCCTGTATTTTTTTTCATTTCAGTCTTGTTTGTATTTTTCCTCTATTCCCTCTTTTTTCCTCTATGTTTTCTCTCACTTTGTCTTTTTTTTTTTTTTTTTTTAGAGTGAGTGCCATGGTGTCAGCCTAGCTCACAGCAACCTCAATCTCCTGGGCTCAAGCAATCCTGCTGTCCCAGCCTCCCAAGTAACTGGGACTACAGGCATGCGCCACCATGCCCGGCTAATTTTTTCTATACACATTAGTTGGCCAATTAATTTCTTTGTATTTATAGTAGAGATGAGTCTCGCTCTTGCTCAGGCTGGTTTGGAACTCCTGACCTCGAGCAATCTGCCCACCTTGGCCTCCCAGAGTGCTAGGATTACAGGCGTGAGCCACCGCACCCAGCCTCTCACTTTGTCTTTTGTTCTATCCACACAGGGTGGTGGGCATGGGAGCTGGGTGGGTGGGGCAGTGAGCTTCTCAAGCAAACTGCAGGTCTTTCAAGGTAAGGTGCTTGTTTTTGTATTTCTTAAAAGTTCGAAAAATTTTATATACATTGAAAAGTTAATAGAATAAAAACTACCTTATATACTCTTTCCTTGTTGGTTAGCGACATCCTGCTGTGTGCCCCTTTTTTTCTATATATACTTTATCATGACCAAATTAAGATGCAAACATCATGATATTTCACCCCAGACACTTGAGCATGCTTTTACAAGGATATTCTGTAACTGTAATACCATTTGTGCACAAGATAAATAACAATGTCACAATATCTAATAATGCAGTTCATATTAAAGTTTACCCAGTTGCCTCTCAAATTACTTTTTCTTTTGAGATGGTCTCATTCCGTGTGGGCTAGGGTGCAATGGCATTATCATAGCTCACTGCAGCATCAGACTCAGAAACTCAGTGATCCTACTGCTTCAGCTTCCTGAGTAGCTGGAACTATAGGTGCATGCCACCATGCCCAGCTGATTGATATATATATATATATATCTTGAATATTTTGTAGATACGAGGTCTCGCTATGTTACTCAGGCTGGTCTTGAATTCCTATCCTCAAATGATCCACCTGCCTAGGCCTCCAAAAGTGCTAGGATTACAGGCATGAACCACTGCACCAGGCCCCAGATTATTTATATTGTCACACTGTTGGCTTGTGTTGAGTTTGAGATTATCCCAAAGTAGCTGCCATTACTGAGCACCTGGTGTGCCAGGCACTGTGCTTCATGTTTCCATCTAGTCTTGCAATTCTGTCAGTGGAGTGATTACTGTTCTATAAATGAGGAAATGGCATCAGAGGTTAAGTAATTTTCTTGCCGAAGGTCACACAAGAAATGAACCAGGATGCAGACCTAGCTTGGACCTCTCCAAAGATAACCTCTGGTAGCATGGCTTAAAACTAGGTTAGTTTCTCATACAGTGTTAGATCCCTTCCCCTGGAGCGGTTGACTTGTTCTGAAGTTTGGATCATAGGCTTTCTTTTCATGTATCCGTGTTGCATGGTATGTCATTTATAGCCTCCCCCCCCTTGTTCCATCCAGCTTTTTGTTGCTCACTACTTGTTTCGCTGCTGTTTCTGTGAGTGTCTGAAGCATCAATATTATTTTTCTCCTGGAAACTTCAGGTTGTACACCATTCCCAGTGCCTCACAGTTTAATATAAAGGAATTGGGGTAGGGTACTCCTGGGGATAACTTGAAATATTCTCTAAAAGTATTTAATTTCAAAGTAATCAGTCTTTGTACCCAGCATGGTAGGACAGAAGTTTAAAAATTCTCAAAAGATTTTATAAAGAGTCTTTCAACTCTTTATAAAACCTGAGAACTATGATATCTAATGAATAAGCTTGAAAGTCTTTTAAAAATTAAACAATAGCGTGTGGATGAAAATGATCTTAATGTAAGATACGCTGTTCCTGCAGGCCTCAGTACTTGATAGAGCATCATTCAAACAGAACCCCAGGCTGCACAGCTGCTTTAATAACCTCAGGCTTAATTGTGGCCCAAAAATGTACTTTAAAATATTTTTAAACAGATAACTTATAAATGACCTAACTTTACTATCTACTTTTAAAGAGCCTAATAACCACATCTAAGAAGGTAGGTCTGAATATTTGAAAGTAGTAATATTTGGATGTTTTTACAGTTATCTTAAATCTCTGCTGTGTACATGAGTTAGGGTTATGTTCAGCCTCGAGGAACAAGAAACTCACAATGTGGCTGAAACAAGGCTACGCTGATTCTTGTGAATGTCGCCGGTCCAGGGCTGGTGTGGTGGCTCCTCAGTCCTCCCAGCTTCATGGTCCTGCTATCTTGTCCACTTTCCAGGACCTCCACCAAGGTGGAATCCCAGTTTCATCAGAATCCCGAGGGTGGGACCCAAGCATACTGTATTTTAAAGTTTCCGGAGATCTAATGTGCGGTATAGTTTGAGGAACACTAGTGAAGTGATTAAAAATTCAGACTCTGGAGCTGTGTGACCTTGAACAGGTTACTGAACCTGTGTTTTTCCCCTCATCTGTACAAGGGAAATAAGAGTGCTACCTCACAGAGTTGCTGTGAAGATTGCATACCATGTGGCAAGTACCTAGACTGGTGCCTGAGACATAGCACTCAGTATGTTCTGTCTTATTTTCTCCTCGTTAGATTTCTGGATATACTGTAGTTTGTCAACGCCCTTCCTAAAACGTGGAGCCCAAGGGACTAGACCCCATTCTGTGTGAGCACCATGAGGGACGGACCGTGTGTGCTCATTGATGGCTGTGTTAGTGCCTCAGTGGGGCCTGCTGCATCCCTAGCCATCACGTCTGTGTTCCAGCAGTGGGAAGGAACAACGGGAGAAGAGAATGTCTCCTCCCTTTGAGGACATTCCCAGAATGGCACACCGTTTCAACCTATAGCTCAATGGCCAGACGCTAGTTAGTCAAGAGAACACCCAGCTACTGGGAAAGTCAATATTTTAACCAGCCATATGCCCAGTTAAAATTCAGAAGTAATTTTGGTGGGGACGAAGGGGAGAATGGAAGTGGGGACAACTGGAGGGCTTTGATAAATTGTAGATTAAAATCACTTTAAATGTATCATTTCAAAGGACGGCAAATGGTTCAGTAAAAGGCAAAATTGCAGATATATTCTAGAACTTTCAGTAGATTTTTTTAGAATTCAGTAAATTCTAATAGATCATCTAGAATTCAATAGATACTCTAGAATTTTACTTGGCCCCAGCATCAAGCCAGATGATCTGTAATTCTGAGAACTTAACCTTATCTTGGCCGGGTGCGGTGGCTCACACCTGTAATCCTAGCACTCTGGGAGGCCAAGGCGGGCGGATTGCTCGAGGTCAGGAGTTTGAAACCAGCCTGAGCAAGAGCGAGACCCTGTCTCCTAAAAATAGAAAGAAATTAATTGGCTAACTAATATGTATAGAAAAAATTAGCCAGGCATGGTGGCACATGCCTGTAGTCCCAGCTACTCGGGAGGCTGAGGCAGTAGGATTGCCTGAGCCCAGGAGTTTGAGGTTGCTGTGAGCTAGGCTGACACCATGACACTCACTCTAGCCTGGGCAACAGAATGAGACTGTCTCAAAAAAAAAGATTCTCAGACGTGTGTTTTTATTGTTGTCTCGTTTCTGGCTCAACTTTGTGTCCCTGCCCTTGTTTGTTGATGTGTTTCTTTTTTTTCCTTTGTACTTCTACTTTCTGAACATCTTGTGTCTTATATGTTTGTGGACTGATTTGATTGCTCTCTTAGAACATAGTGTTGTCTACATGAACACAAGGAAGTCTCGAGCATACTTCGAGTTCCCAGGTGCAAGTGATGCTATCACCTGGACTGTGGTTCTACCTCTGGAGGTCAGGACTCGTTTGGACAGTTGGGGTGATGGGAGAGGAAGAAAGAGCACTATTTGGGGACTCAATTTCCTTTTTAAAAATGTGTACAATCCTCCCTTTCCATCAGAAGACAGAGAAGTGGCAAATGACATAGAAGGTTTGGGGCAAGGTTGGGGTGTTCCCAGGTGACTGCAGAGTGGTCAGCCTTTTCTGTTCCTATG